CTGACTGGTTTTGGTAATTCGATTCAGGTTAGATGATCCAATTATTAAGGTTGATTTCTTTAGAGCAGGTAGTTTCCATAATCATTTGTCCTTGGTTTGGTGATAATACGGTTTGGTAGCGGATATAATGGTCGTCGACGGTGTGATTGGTACTGGTTTGGTAGTTGTTAGAATTGTAGCATTGGGAACGGACTGGGATCTGGTTCGAGGAGGGGAAGGTCTGGATACACGTCTCGACTTGGATGGAGACTGAGGGGTGGTTTGCTGGTCCAAAAACGCACAGAAGGAAGAAAGGTTGGCGGATCCTGGATCACGTGGTGAAGATTCAGATGGTGTGGAAGGGGAAGACGAGTCTGAAAGTGAAAAGAGAAGGGGTGTGCCCTCTCTACGAGAGCGTTTACCTATGTCTGCTGGACTAGGAGTAGATGAACTTCGGGCTCGTTTAGGGGTTTGGTTCGGCAGCGTGGTAGCTCTAGATGGTGCAGGTGTAGTGTCCATTTCAGTTGGTAGAGATATGGTTACTCTGGTTTTTGTTTCGTTGATTGTTTGGTAGAATTTGGAAATTACAGCTTGAGTTAGACGTTTCCCATAGGAGCGACGGGCCCAGGACAGGGCATGAGAAACGATGCGGTCGACGGCAGGTGATGATAAAGACTTGGTACGAATGGTGGTCAGCTTCTCTTGAAGTGTGGTTTGGTAATGGTCGATCAGGACCTGCGTAACCTTACAGAGCCATGTCCGATTGAGGGATCTAATATTCGCGTCGACAGCTGATGTTTTCATTGCTGGACGGATAAAACTATCCAACTCAGAGACTTTGCGTTTGAAGGTAAACGCTGGTTGGCCTTGCTGTTGAAGGGTAAGGATTGCCAAATGATGGAGGCACTGCAAAACTTGGAAGAACACCTTCACAAAGGGTTCTTCCTCCTTATGAGTGGGGACTGGTTGGCGTCGGTGGGCTGGTAGTCGTTTCTGTTGTTGGTCAGGTCGATGGTTACCTCTTGATTGGTAGGCTGTGTTGTAGGTAGGTCGGCGATGAGGTGGGATATAGCTGGATGGGTTGGTTGGTGGTCGGCGATTGGTAGGTGGTAGAGGTCGATGGAAGACAGGGCCGTTGTAGGGTACGTGATATTGGTTTGGTTGACGATTAGTGTTTCTATTTCTGGCTTCTTGCCAGTGGTTGTTGTAGTTGGGGAGCATAATGAAAATAACTTGGGGTTAGAAGGGAATGTACAGCGGATGTAACAGGAGGAAACTGTATATGCTAGCGTGAAAATGTTGGGATCAAATTATGCAAATAAGTCAAACTGGGTTTGGGGATATATAAAGCAAGATGAAAAATGCAAAAAAATATATATTTAGGTGATAAATAACGCTAACAATGATGTGAAAAATTATAACAAGTAAAACAAAAACTTACGCAATTGACACGAACCGGTTTTCGAAATATTATCCTTTTTCAAGTGTCGAGGAATGGTTTAACATGCTAAAGTGTGAAAAATATTATTAACTTTAGACGGTCTTTGTCCTGTAGTACCTATTTGGCATGCTAAGCGAGGTGTTTTAACTTTAATAATTTTGCTGGGATTGACAATTAAATGTTGTTAATTGGAAAAGTTTTGAGGTGCCGAAATAAAGTAAGACAGAACTAATATATTTTAAAAGTATAACAACTTAGGCTCTCGAGAATCCTTCCTACCAGCAGGTCCTTGACCAAACCTCTTGGATTACCCGTACTTATTTAAAGATCGAGATGAGAACTCACCATTTGTTCGTACAAAACAAATGACGAAATATAAAGAATCAAAGCTCTAAGTTACTGTGCTACAGAACCTCCAGTACACGATGTCAAGATCATTCATGAACAAATTTCAAACCATCAAGTAAAAATTAAAAAGTGTAAAACTATATAAAGACCTGCATACTAATTATTGGCATTGTGCAAGTCATTAAGACTATCAAGGGGTTGTTTAGCTTATAGGGATTGTAAAGAGGTTTTCTAAAAATGATAGGGCACACTCAAACTCTTACTTTTATTGCAATTGTAAGAGCCATAAAAAAAACACACTAGAGCCACACGTGGCACAGAGTGGGACTTTGCAGAAGTAGACGACCTCCCAAATGAAAGTATCAGAAGATTGCCAAGGTCTTTGGCATTGAAAAGGAGACGGTCAACAAAAGTCAAGGTTACGAGATACAAGTCATCAAAATGTTAAAATATATACGGCTATAAAACCGGAAGTTGAGATATTACAGCAAATATAAAAGTATAAATAGATAGTCAATGTGAATGACCTTCGATCCTACAAAAGTCAAGGTCAAAAATTGAAAATTTAGAATTTACAAGACATGTTCCTTTTTTTTGGAACTATAAAGCTGAAACAATCGAACTTCTAAGACAAAATGTCTCAAAAGATGAGGTAATTGTATGCAAAGTTTCATTTTGAACAAATGTATTCTTTACGAGTTATGCCTCTTACCAAAAATGTCAATAATGAATAATTTAACCCGGATGTGCCACGCCCACCTTATTTATTTGACATAAGTTTATTGATATTTGAAATGTTATGTACCAAATTTCAAGCTTCTACATCACACAGGTAAAAAAAATATAGGTCAAGAAACGTCAACAAAGTTCAAAATCTAAAAATGAAAATAACCAAATGTTAAAACCCGTTCCTTTTTTGGAACTATAAAACTGAAACATTTGAACTGTTAACACAAACTGGCGGAAAGGATGAGGTAATTGTGTGCATAGTCCCACCTCAATTTTTTTGTCATAGGTGACT